AGAGAGAGAGAGAGAGAGAGAGAGAGAGAGAGAGAGAGAGAGAGAGAGAGCGCACGGGCGCGTCTTCCACCAAAACGCGCGCATGACACACACACACACACACACACGGATTCCCCACCTCTGGTACTCTACATAGTTTGTGTGCAGGTGGGATCTTTCCATGCGTGTCCCCTCCTTGCATCTTGCATCTCTCATGTGTGCTGATGTATGTGCGTGCTGAGTTGAGTCTCTGATGAGTCAGATATGATGTTTTTTCACTTCAGATTCTGATGAATCAGATTGATGATTATTTCCAGTCTTCGGCTGCTTCGCATTGTCGTTTCTCCTCACTTTGGTGACCCCCAAAAAAAAGTTCTTTCGATGATCTTACAACCTATTTATGAAGCCCGCTTCTCCACTCGTTCACTTATCTTTTACCTTTTATCTTTAGCCAATGATCTCCGGAGACGTAAAACGTAAATCAAGGAACTACTCTGTATATCGAAAGGATCTCTGGAGGAAAGCCCTAGAGACGTAAATCAAGGGACTCGGGTATAAGATAATCCAGCCGATGATCCGACATAAAGGAATTCTTTTCTTTTCTTTTTTTTCTTTTTTTTTTTCTCTTTTTTTTTCTAATTCTTAAAGTACCCTGCTGATGACTACAAGCTTTTTTTTTTTTTTTTTTTTTTTTTTTTCACACAGAGATTGAGCTGCCAGGTCCTTTCGTCGGACTATTACCGTATTTTGGTCCCTTGCCATAGGGGGCCCAAGATAATAGACAAAGAATAGGCATGGCAAGGGCCCAAGATAATAGTCCAACGAAACGACCTAGCGGCATAGGGGGACTATTACTATATATTGGTCCCTTGCCATGCCTATAGACAAATAGGCATGTGACCCTATGCCCCCAGGTCCTTTCGTCGGACTCTTATCTTGAGCCCTTGCCATAGCTATAGACTAATCGGCATGTGTGACCGTAGGGAAGGTCGTAAGAAAGGTTTCCTATGGAGGGTCTATGGAGGCTCTGAATCTGGACAGCATAGTCCTTCGGGAATGGACATATCCGTTAAAATTGGTACGATACAAAGAAAGAGAAGATTTTAATTAAGTAAATGGCCCCTGCGCAAGGATGACACGCATAAATCGAGAAATCGTCTAATTAAAAAAAAAAAAAAAAAAGAATCTGGACAGCATAGATTCAAGTTGGCCCCGCGGATTGTCATGGATCTTGCCGATGTGCCCCGTTAGGAGTGTTCACCCGAATAGAACGCCCGGTCAATACATATCTGTATTTGGTGCAAGTTTCCGTCTAGATACAGCGATAATGACCAGGGGTTTTATTCGGATGAAGGACATCGGAGTCTTATAACTCTCTCACCACATGTTGTGGACGTGCTGTAATGTTGTGTATAGGGCCTAATAGGCTGTGTGAGCAGGACATCATCCCCCTGATGAGTGGCACGGTGCCAATGGCAGACGACGAAAAACGTTATAGCGGCGGTCAGTGGGTCACACCCACCCTTCCTGAAGCAGCCTTTTTGCACCTGACATTGCAGACTGGTCAGATTCACAGCGTGGGAAATAGGGTTGCAAAATGCTGCTTGCTGCCTCGTGGAGTGTACTGATTGCCTCCACACACCCTCGACTGGTCCTCTGTATCGACCAACTGGGGCATGGTCCCACTAGCAAAGAGGATCGGATCGAATGCCTGAATCTGGACGAGATTATGGAGATGTGCATGAAATCGAGATTGAACTGCTTTTCTGCATCTCTGCATAAAACACATCCAGATTCAGGCATTCGATCCGATCCTCTTTGCTAGTGGGACCTCGACCAACTGGTGCTCAGTCAGAAAGTCAGAAAGTCAGAAATTGGGCCTCGCTGCACTACTCTCGCCATGCACAAAAGACAAAAATCATGGCGGTGCATCTTTCCATATTCTAGCGGAAGATTCACTCTCGGTTTGCACATTTCGAGAGTAGTGCAGCGAGGCCCATTGCCTCCACATTCACGAAATTAAACAAAGATATACGCCGAACTGACATGGAACGCCAAACCGAGACTTCAAGGAGGAGGAGGGAGAGGGAAGAGAGGAAGAAGAAGAAGAAGAAGAGGAGGAAATGGAACACCGATAGAGTCAGAGTCTAGGTACATCCCGACCACAACTTCTTCATAAAAAAAATAAAATAAACTTGAAAATCATAGCGACGAATCGCTTGCCGAAAAATTGGAAGCCAGCCTTTAACGCAGTACGAGTTCTACGCTGGTCTCCTTTTTTTTTTTTTTTTTTTTTTTTTTT